TGTGTATATATATATATATATGTACATATATAAACAGATTCATTACAGCAGTAGCTGATCAAGTGAATAACTCGCGATATCTTGAAAACAACTTTTTAAACAGTCCACCTAAACGTTTTGCATTTCATTTCGAAGCGACATGTGTTATAAATTGATTCTTTTTTTTTTTTCCTTTTTCATTTATTTTTTTATTATTTGTCAGGTCATGGTTACATTGAATAATGTTGGGCTAAACTAATCGAACGATCTTAACTCATGGCAATTTTAAAGTTATCTCACCAATTAAAAACACGTAAACTGACGAAAGCGAATGATTGAAGTAACGCGTAAAATCATTTCAACAACTGTCAGGGTAAGAAGAAGCGGATTTGGGATGAGGAAATCGCAATCTCATACACAACGTCGTACATGACATCGGCTTACCTAAGAAGAAGCTCTTTTATGAAATGATCATACTGACGGATGCATTAGCAAGCCTTAAGGCGCAATTTAATCGCAAAGTTGTTATATTAATGGTTAGCAGTAAAATAATCCATCATCTCCTACAGCGATAGCATCGTCTTTTTCAGGAACATTTTTCCAAATTCTCTCGCTACGTGATACCATTTCAATGGAAAACTTTGTATACTTCTTGAGATCTTGCCAAATTGATTTTGGCCTTACATACCTTCCGCACCACCACCACTTACAACCACCTATATATGAAAGCACTTCTTCATGTTTGTTGATCCGGAGTCTTTTTGTATATGTTTTGAATCTTATTTAAAAAAAAAAAAAAAAAAAAATTACAAACAATACGACAAAATTAATTTATCTTCATTCGTCGATAAGGTAGTGAATATAGAAATAAAAAACTTAGAAAGTCCGTTAATATCCGTTTTGCTTTATCATTGTTAAGCAATTCATAGTTTGAAATTCATGTCTTAATAAAATAGTTTTTTATTAAAAAATCTCTCTTTTCAATTATCATCACAAACGATAGCTGATGTACAGGACAGTTCGGTAGTCATGTGCCAATAGAAAGCTTAATAACTATAAACTAAAGGCTTAATTACGAAATCAAATACCAACAAGCTATTAAAGCACACTTCATCATCTCCGAAAAAAAAAACAAAAACAAAAAAAAAAAATTAAATATAATAATTTTAATGTGACCCGTAACAATACTAAAAAAAAATTTCTTTAAAACTAATTACCAGAAAGAGAAAGAGAGAGAGAGAGAGACAGAGACAGAGAGCGAGTCAGATTCACAGAGATTTTATTTTCAATTTCAAAGTAATTAAATTTTATCTATGTGTTAAAAAAAAAAAAAAAAAAAACGTAAACAGAGAAATAATTTAGAAAATATACATATGCATATATATATATATAAACTGCAATTTCACTCTTTTGCTCTCAAAATCGCAAGTCGATAACACCGTACCGCCGAAAACATGTGAGAGCTCATTTGTGATCTACAACAACTAGTTTTTTTTTTTTTTTGCTCAAAACAAAGTAAAACAAAAAAAAAAAAAAAAAAAAAAAACATTCATTTTTTTTAATGCTTTTTTTTTTTTTTTTTTTTTTTTTTTTTTGTTTGTTTTTATTTTGCTTTTATTTTTATTTGTTTAAGCCGAGTTTTAAGCTGTTATGTGTAAATGTTTGATTAAAAATTGTTCAACATTGTCATTTAAGAAACAGTTAGTTGTTGTGCGTGGTTATGTTAAAAACGTTCATACCATTTAACCGGGAATTTTCATACGAATCATCGTCAATGTGGAAGTTTCGTAAAAAGTGAAATTGCCAATGCAGCTGATGGTAGCGAAAAAACTTTATATGTTTCGTTTTATTCATTAAATTTTTTTTTTATTTATTTATTATCGTGTTTTACAATCTAAATTACCAAAAAAAAAAAAATAAATAAATAAATAAATAAATAAAAATAAATTTTAAATGCCTTTAAAAACATATATGTAATGCATATATTTTTTGCAATTAAAAAATCATCTTTTATATTAAAAGGCGGAACAAGTTAAAATGAAAAAGCAACAAAATAAATTAAATGGAAAGCAAATCGCGACGAACTTTTAACAAATAATTTCTTTTTTTTTTTTTTTTTTTAATCTATGCAAGTTTATCTATCTATCTCTACCGATCCTGAATGACAAAAAGCCAACATGTATATATAAATAAATAATAAGAAAAAAAAAAAAAAAATGCTTTATTGCTGTCATTATATTATTTATTGGATGCCAAGACAGTTCGTAGAAAAAGTGAGAGCAAGAGTGCACATATGGCTTACCAATAATCTATCCCAGGCAGCAATAACGATATGATATACATTGTATTTATTTCATATTTATTTTCATCAGGAAAATATAAGAAAAGAGATTAAAAAGAAAATGTTAATTATGCTAGAGAAATACTTTAAAGAAACTAAAAATTTTGATTTTTTGACAATAAGATCGAAAAGCTTATGGTTTGAGATGAGCTCGTAAATGTCTCTTAATGCTTCTATCAGTTAAATATTCTCCACCGATCATTCTTTGTTATACTAGATCTAATGGAAAATTATTTTAAACGATTTCACCTTGCCTTGTGACGAATCATATCACGAAGTGACTCTTAGTCACTTACGACAATCTTGGGAATAGTTAAGGGGTTATTTGTTTTATTTATAGTTTCAATCAAATTATTCAAAATCGATTCGAAAGTCATCGCTTGGCAAGATTAAACACACCTCTCATCCCTGATCATGTTACCTTACATAACCAAATTCTGACCTTATTCTCTCAATCTCAATTATAATCATAATCGGATTGTGTTGGGTCCGATAGAATTGTCAATTAATTTCGTTTGACTTGCATTGCATGTCCTGCAAATGAATTGAAAGAAGCTTTATTCATCGTGGCGTATGAGAAATATAAATATAATGCAATGGATAGCAAATTATCCCGATCGATTTAAAACATTCAGATGTGTGCGTTAAAAACCGAATTAATTCAAACTCTTTCAGTAATAACTTGTAATAGTTATTTTCATTTTAATCCTGTACCTGAAATTTAAAAATGGCCATGGTTTGACCACAAGAGAGTTTCGTTTATTTGAGAAGTTGAAAAACTTGAAAAATAATAAACCTTTTTCTAGAAAGAAAGACGAACCAAGCTCATAATTAATATCCGTTAGAGTTCTTTGAATAATGATATTTTTTTAAAGGGACTACAAAAAATCTTTATTTTTATATTTGTACTACGATTGATGGACACATTGAAATTCTATTCCATGGCTTTCTCCCCATTTGGGATACTTAAATTATTTCATTCAAGCTTCAAAAGAGATTGACGGTCTTTAGTTAATGTCATCCATTGCGACTTTAAGAAGAGACACGATTCCTACGAACAATTTCACGTATGGTTAGTCCTGTCCATTGTTATGTCGATTATGTGTCGATATCGGATGTCTTAAGCCAACAAGTTATTAAAAGTTTTATTTTTTTCTTTCATATACTAAATACGTTATGGGAAAAGAATAACTTAATTAAGGAGCTAATGGTAGCTAAAAAAAAAAAAATATGAGGGCAAATAAACAAAGCTAAGCAAATACTAAACTAAATAATACTATAGTCATTCTAGATTCCTTAGAAAAGCAAGTAATAATATTAGAAAGTATTCTAGAAGGTATTCATGCTTTAGAAAATCAAGTAATATTATTAGAAGGATTTCTCTGGGATGAGAAATGATATGTCTCTTTATGCTTCAAGTTTTACAAGCGCGTAAGAGCTGTACATGACCGCATATTGTATCCTTGCTGCTTTACATTGCAAATATTCTAAAAGGGTCCTCCATTTTCTCTCCCCTTCCTAATGAAGAGCATCGTTCTTCTTTAATAGTAAAATCCTTCTATTAGTTCGAATCATAAGTAAAATCCGTTTCTCTTTCAGACTTTGATTTTGTTTTCATTGCACAACAAGGAGTTAATTGTAACGTATTTAACCTTTTTGTTACAACTCTTGTTAATTGCCGTAGATTTTGCTCCAATATTGCCTTTAAACGCTTGTCGTCGAAGTCGAAAGGACGTCCCATTTTTTAAGGTCGTATCTCCAGAACGGAATTTTCCAAACCAATTTCTAACTGCCCGATCAGGTATCAGTCCTTCACTATATACGCTGCATACTTTTTCAGCTGCAGCCTTAGCGTTATTGCCTTGTGTAAATTCCCAAAGCATTAAGGCTTAAATATGCACATTTTGACTCTTCATTTCAGAGACTAAGAAAAACAGTGGTATGTTATAAGCACTACATAAAACAATTGACAAAAGACTAACTGACTGAAGCCTAATCTGTAGAGTGAAAACTTGTTGTTTCAGCGACTTCGAGTGGGTAAATACAGATTCACAACAACAGCAGATTCTACCTAGATGCATTGGAAGTTACTTTTGACACGACCTAATATTTAGTAAACGTATTAGATGACCTTAATAAGTTCTAAGCATCGGAATGATTTATAGGTCAAAGACCAAATACTATAAAAATGGCATACAAGAGATGAGAGGCACTTAGTAGAAGAATTACGTTAAACCGACTTTTAGCTTTAGAACGGTATATGATCTAGATAGACATTGTGATACTAAAATTTTTCAAAATGTAATTGATTAATTGGTTCTTGTGATTGTAAAGCGAAACTTTGTGTACAACGAAAGTGTGAAATTTACTTACAAATTTAAGTTTTTAAAAAAAAAAAAAAAAAAAAAAAAAACGAAAAATATATACATAGCGAAGATAATTAAAAATATTTTTGTTAATTCCCTTTTTAATGAATGAAATTTATTTATTTATTTATTTTTTTTTGTATAAATATTGCAAATTTTATTCAATCATAATAGCAATGTTTTGTAATAAAAATGTTGATTATATTGAATTAAACAGCGTAAATAATTATTTTCGTTTAATAAGAGAAAAGAAAAATCGTATTAGCCGCGGCAACAACAACAAAATAAAACAAAACCAATAGCCAGAAATAAATCAAATATATATATATATATATATATATATATATGCATATATATAAAGGCTTTCTGAAGCAACAGAAGAAACATCACTTTTGTGGTTTTAACGAGCAATTGCTTGCTCGCACATACGAACGGTCAAAACCACATTTGGCCACAATAAACATGGCTGCGGTCAATTGGTTTTCTTTGGTACTGGCATTCGGTAAGTGTTTAGTGCAGTGCAGTGCAATGCAATGCAGTGCAATGCAATACATTTTGTTATTTATATTATTATTTAATAATTATGCAATAGCACTTTTTTTTTCTTTCTTTCTTTCTTTCTTCTTTTCAATGAATGTATGTGCACAACAAAGTATATATTATACGTTAGTTTCTCGATTGAGTTCACTGCAGAATAATAGAATTATTTCTTAAATTAGATATACATTCCTATGAAAGATTTGAAAAAATTTAATGGGAGCGTATCACGTTTTGCAAAGATTTTTATATATACAGCAAATAAATAAATGTAAATGAATGGATTGACTTAGTCCTACCAATGAATAATATTTTATAATGAATAAGATTTCTTTTCAACGGCATCGAATAATTCAATGAAAAATTATGAGTCGTGTTTAGTTGTGTCATGAGAGAGATATATAAATTTATATCCAATACTGGAGGCTGTGTTTTGTAATCCTTAGGTAAAAACAAAACAAAACACAAAAAAAAAAAATTAATGCCAACGCAGATGCAGATAATATATATTAGTTTGCTATTTGGAGTTTTACGAAATATAATACAATTTTTGAAAAGAAAAAATTCACCAAAACTTTTCGATATAATCATAGAAAATGATAAATTGCTATCATTGGGTTTGTGAAAAAGGTCAAAATGTACGCGCAACTACTTCTATGCTTATTGCGTTAAGTCTGAAAGCAGAATTGTGAAGAGTTCTTTGCTCAAGCTTTTGCTTCCTCTTCCTATATCGGTTACGTTACACTTATTAGGGGACGAACATCCCTTAAGTTATTGGTCATATTAAAAAAAAAAAACAACAATAATAAGTAAATGTTAAGGAAATTTATTAGGAAATTTTTTACAAAAATGTGCAGCAGAGTAACTTTTTTCAGGGCTATGTTAGTTTTCCTTAATTAATTCTTCGCAATCCTGTGTCGATTGTGTGTCGACATTGTACCGCTTTGCCGATAGAGACTCGACATATATATGACTTTAAACTGTTGGTCAAGTGGTCATAGGTAGGATAGAAAAAAAAAAATTAGATATGCCAAGGGTTAGAAGAGATGGCCGTGGATTTGACTCCTTTAGTTTTCTCTCTCATGTCGTTAAGAATTCAAAAAGTCATCAGTGGGAAGTTTTATACGTTAATCTTTTTTATTTAATTGCATTTTATAATAGTTTCCTGTTATCTATGAGCAAAAGTAAGGATTTACTTAAGATCTATCCTTAACGTTAAAATCAAAGTCATATTAAAAAAGGAAAAGTTTCTCTCCGACTTTCTTAATGGCGAGCAACTTTCAATAGTTCTTCTTCTTTTTTTTTTTTTTTTTCTTAAGATCATGCTAACGACCATCATTGGTTTAGCGGTTTAACAACAATGCACGCCAACCTTTTTTAAAAACTAATCTTATGCTAAGCCCAAAAAAAAAAAAACGCCATGACTTTTGCGACAACTCAATACTAAAAGAAAACTTAATTCAAATATCGATTTGCTAACATTTCGACATAAATATATCCTTCAGGCCTAAACATTATTATTTATTAAACTATAAAATGATTAACAACTACCAAAAGCGAATAGTATAACTTATTGTTTATGGTATGCATTTATTTAAACAATAGAAATGGAAAAAATTGATTTTATAAAAGTAGAATATTATTAAACATATCTATGTATAAATTAATGAAAGCAATAATCAGCTATGATTTTTTTTTATTACATACTTAGCTAATACCACATTTTACAATTGTAGTGTACGTCGTGTAGAGCTGAGAAAATGTTGGATATTATTTTAAAATATTCCAACAACAACTGTATGCAAGCATTTAGTGCATTAGAAAAAAGTACAATGTTTGAGATTGATAGAACATTAAGAAATGAGGGGAGGATAGGAAAAAACCTAATGCTTACGGATGTGGACAAAACTTGTACTTAATGTTAGTCATTTTTATCTATGCAGACAGAATTCGCTTTTGAGGACTACAGCGATTTTTGTCATGGCATTGATGAAACTAATTATCGCATATTTCTACTGGGATATTCGATGTTATTATCTGTTGAAAGGTGCAATTTGGGCTCGTGGCATCACACTAAGATCGCGCGGGTTAATTTAAATATATTTTCAACATTTGATCTTCAAGAAAATAGTTAAAGCCGGTAAAGTTCCAAATGTCTTTCGTGTCTTTTATTTATGTGAAGAAACAAGAAAAAAAAAAAAACACAAACATTATTCTCTACTTTATCGAGAGCTTAATCTGTACTTGAAGAAGTTTACCTGTCAACCGACGACAATATATATATAAAGACGAAAAAGTAATAAAAATCCGGATGGAAAAGACAACATATTAATTAGTAAGACAATTATAAATGAGCAAAAGCACTATGATAAGCCATGACCCACTACTAACTACCCTACACCATCCTACAGTTACTCATGTAATGTGCTATTCAAAAAAAGGGGAGAAGTGGTTCGATCATTCGAGCATTCGCTGTTGGGTAAAAAACACGTCGATGTACCAGATTTCATTAAAATACCTCAAAAGTGCAGGCACGGACAGACAGACGGACAAGTTTAAAACGATTCAAAAAATGATTCTGAATAGCTCATATCAAGTTCTTCTGGGTGTCGCATATATTCGCACCAAGTTAAAATGCCTTTGTTCAACAAGTGGTTTAAACATATGCGAAATATAAAAAAAACTTCTTAAGTGAGAAAAGTTCGATATCTTTGACAGCCATGAATTTTAATATAATTTAAAATATAAATAAATTTTATGATTTGATTTTATATTATGGTAAGATCGCACAGTCATCTACAGTCATTTGGGTAAATAAATCAATTCGTTTTGTAAACCATTGTAAATACTAGAGAGTTTCTTTTTCACAAACCAATATAAAAATTCATTAGAAGGATTGAAGTTAATGTCAGACACGGATCTCATTGATTAATTTTCTGGACCATAAAGAATTTTAAATCATTTCATAAAAAAGCCAGAAATCGATCTTCTTCTTCTAATCTTGTTTTTATCTCGTAATCATTACATTTGGTTGGAGGAATCCTTCAAAGTCATCGGATGTAAATTTAAACTGAGAGAACTTATCTACCAAAAGTTTTAGTTTGCTTTTTTCGGATATGAGCCCTTCTAAAGACCAGGGAAGGTGGTCTAATTGACCTAAATAGAGTGAACTATAATCATAAGATAACGAACATATTTCCAAGTCTTGCAAGCACTGTGTCAAAAGCAAGGTATATTTGCGAGTAGGATGATGTTGTTGTTGTTTTTTTTACGAATTTTTATTATCATTTTAGAAACAACAACAACAACAACAAATTTTTCGATTGTACAAAGATAACGTGTATCAAAAAGTCGCCCGAAATCGAACATAAATTTTGTTTGTGTTAATTCTATTATATTTTATACAAAATTCAAATGCGCTCTCGCGCATTTAACTTAGCTTAGTTGTTGTTGTGAAACATTCACTTTTGTTTAAACATTTTTTACTTGAACTCTTTATAAATAATTGTAATGATCGTTGCACATATGTGCAAATTGCGCGCCAATGGTTTTCGTAAATTTCATAGAATATCTTTGCAACACAAATGCTTTTTAAAAGTTTATTTATCATTAAATACATTCTAAATCCATTAAGCGCTTTTTATAATATAATGAAGCACTTGTGAAAGAAAACACACAGGTAACCTTCAATGGAAATGCGCTAGAATTTTAATGCCATCATTATACTCTATACTATAATTGAATTTTTTACTAGATAAATATTTATTTATTTAAACTGTGATATTCTATAATATGAGGCGTGCATGATGGACTTTGTTGGATCCTCTATGTAATACATGTTCGGCTTTTCATCGTTATAGTATCGTGCTCAAAGCCTTAAAATTTTAATGGGGGGAAAAGAAAAATTCTCATAATTCTCTCTCTCTCTGTGAAGGGAAACCCCCGATGCTAAAATTAAAGGAGAAACTGTAATTTATCCCGATCACCTTCGATTGATGATTTATTTAAAAATTCTTCCGATTTCTTTCATATTTTATGTTAAGCAGTCATGTGGTTCCATAACGTCGGTTGACTTAAATAATTTGTAATTTATTAATGATATTTTTATATTGTCCGGTTTTAAATGATTATTTCACTTATATAAACATTTATACAAAACTAGAAACTAAAGTCTATTGATGACTATTGATGAAGTTTGGATATGTATATGGTAGAGAGATATTGATATAAAATTTGATAAAAATTGTTATTATAGACTTGAGACATTCTAAAGTACCGTTGCATAAATAAGTGTTAATGAGCCATAACCCCAATATAAAAAGAAAACTTGAAGGTCAGAATTTATAGAAAAACAAACAAGAACACTACAGTGGCCACTTGGCAAAATTACGAAAATATTTCCTAAGACGTACTATTGTGCTAAATACACATTCATTATGATAAAGTTGTAAGAAGAAATGCAAAATGTAAGGATGAACGGACGGATGAACTGATTGTTATGTAAGCATTCATCATACACAATTAACTAATTAGTACAATTATGTCACTCATGTAACAACTTTTCAAAGTAAGGAATTATATGGTATATGGTCGATGAAGCGTTGCGATCCAAATAATCTTTCAAAACATTTATGCTTGTGCCAAAACATGGCCATGCCCCAATTTTCCGCAAAATATTTTATAAATTGCGACTTTCACGTTGAACACAAAATGGACAGACGGACTGACAAGCTTAAATCAATTCGAAAAGTGCTTATAATAGTAACTTAAGATACAAGTATTAACCGCTCCTAATCTTAACTACTCACGCCTACTTTTAGATCCTATGAGAGAAAGCAAGTAAAAGGATGTAAGAAAAACTCATGAAAATTAAAAAAAAAAAAAACACGACAAACAAAAGCTGGTTTGATTTAAACAATATTTTCTTTTTTAATAAAATTTATCTTCACACACCTATACATAAAG